GGGGACGGGGGAGTGAGGAATGGTGGGGAGGACGAGGGGACGGGGGAGTGGGGAATGGTGGGGAGGACGAGGGGACGGGGGAGTGGGGAATGGTGGGGAGGACGAGGGGACGGGGGAGTGGGGAATGGTGGGGAGGACGAGGGGACGGGGAAGTGTGGAATGGTGGGGAGGACGAGGGGACGGGGAAGTGGGGAATGGTGGGGAGGACGAGGGGACGGGGAAGGGGGGAATGGTGGGGAGGACGAGGGGACGGGGAAGGGGGGAATGGTGGGGAGGACGAGGGGACGGGGAAGTGGGGAGGACGAGGGGACGGGGAAGTGGGGAGGACGAGGGGACGGGGAAGTGGGGAATGGTGGGGAGGACGAGGGGACGGGGAAGTGAGGAATGGTGGGGAGGACGAGGGGACGGGGAAGTGGGGAATGGTGGGAGGACGAGGGGACGGGGGAGGGGGGAATGGTGGGGAGGACGAGGGGACGGGGGAGGGGGGAATGGTGGGGAGGACGAGGGGACGGGGAAGTGAGGACTGGTGGGGAGGACGAGGGGACGGGGAAGTGGGGAATGGTGGGGAGGACGAGGGGACGGGGGAGTGGGGAATGGTGGGGAGGACGAGGGGACGGGGGAGTGGGGAATGGTGGGGAGGACGAGGGGACGGGGAAGTGGGGAATGGTGGGGAGGACGAGGGGACGGGGAAGTGGGGAATGGTGGGGAGGACGAGGGGACGGGGGAGTGGGGAATGGTGGGGAGGACGAGGGGACGGGGGAGTGGGGAATGGTGGGGAGGACGAGGGGACGGGGAAGTGAGGAATGGTGGGAAGGACGAGGGGACGGGGGAGTGGGGAATGGTGGGGAGGACGAGGGGACGGGGAAGTGGGGAATGGTGGGGAGGACGAGGGGACGGGGAAGTGGGGAATGGTGGGGAGGACGAGGGGACGGGGGAGTGGGGAATGGTGGGGAGGACGAGGGGACGGGGGAGGGGGGAATGGTGGGGAGGACGAGGGGACGGGGGAGGGGGGAATGGTGGGGAGGACGAGGGGGACGGGGAAGTGGGGAATTGTGGGGAGGACGAGGGGACGGGGGAGGGGGGAATGGTGGGGAGGACGAGGGGACGGGGGAGGGGGGAATGGTGGGGAGGACGAGGGGACGGGGAAGTGGGGAATGGTGGGGAGGACGAGGGGACGGGGAAGTGAGGACTGGTGGGAAGGACGAGGGGACGGGGAAGTGGGGAATGGTGGGGAGGACGAGGGGACGGGGAAGTGGGGAATGGTGGGGAGGACGAGGGGACGGGGAAGTGGGGAATGGTGGGGAGGACGAGGGGACGGGGGAGTGGGGAATGGTGGGGAGGACGAGGGGACGGGGAAGTGGGGAATAGTGGGGAGGACGAGGGGACGGGGAAGTGAGGACTGGTGGGAAAGACGAGGGGACGGGGAAGTGGGGAATGGTGGGGAGGACGAGGGGACGGGGGAGGGGGGAATGGTGGGGAGGACGAGGGGACGGGGGAGGGGGGAATGGTGGGGAGGACGAGGGGGACGGGGAAGTGGGGAATGGTGGGGAGGACGAGGGGACGGGGGAGGGGGGAATGGTGGGGAGGACGAGGGGACGGGGGAGTGGGGAATGGTGGGGTGGACGAGGGGACGGGGAGTGGGGAATGGTGGGGAGGACGAGGGGACGGGGGAGTGGGGAATGGTGGGGAGGACGAGGGGACGGGGAAGTGGGGAATGGTGGGGAGGACGAGGGGACGGGGAAGTGGGGAATGGTGGGGAGGACGAGGGGACGGGGGAGTGGGGAATGGTGGGGAGAACGAGGGGACGGGGGAGTGGGGAATGTTGGGGAGGACGAGGGGACGGGGAAGTGAGGAATGGTGGGGAGGACAAGGGGACGGGGAAGTGAGGAATGGTGGGGAGGACGAGGGGACGGGGAAGTGAGGAATGGTGGGGAGGACGAGGGGACGGGGAAGTGAGGAATGGTGGGGAGGACGAGGGGACGGGGAAGTGAGGAATGGTGGGGAGGACGAGGGGACGGGGAAGTGAGGACTGGTGGGGAGGACGAGGGGACGGGGAAGTGGGGAGGACGAGGGGACGGGGAAGTGAGGACTGGTGGGAAGGACGAGGGGACGGGGAAGTGGGGAATGGTGGGGAGGACGAGGGGACGGGGAAGTGAGGACTGGTGGGGAGGACGAGGGGACGGGGAAGTGGGGAATGGTGGGGAGGACGAGGGGACGGGGGAAGGTTACTGAGCCACAGCAACGCGTGGCCGGGTACAGCTAGTAAGTAATAAATATTAATTATTTAGTAATGGACATAAATAATGGAAGACTGCCATGATATATGTAACCAGGTGATTAGAGTTTTTAACGAGGAGGAGGATAAGGTAAAGCAATCAGAACAATAAAGAAAAACAATATTTTCCAGTAAAATGCGACTATGGAAGGGAAGGGAAGGGAACTATCAGGGAGAAAGCACCAAGCCATTGCGACTATATAGCACTTGGAAGGGGTCAGGATAAGGATTTGGGATGGGACGGGGAAAGGAATGGTGCCCAACCACTTGGACGGTCGGGGATTGAACGCCGACTTGCATGAAGCGAGACCGTCGCTCTACCGTCCATCCCAAGTGGTTGGATGCGACTATGGATTGTGATATAAATAGGACTATAAATCTAGCTGTAAATAAGACTATGAATAGGACAATAAATAGGACTGTACAATTGACTATAAATAGGATTATAATATTTTATATTAATAGGGCTATAGACTAGAAAGTAAACGGGACTATAGATTGGACTGTAAAGAGGACTGTAAAATAGATTGAACTGCAAACAGGACTATTGAATGGACTGTAAACAGGACTATAGACTGCATTTTAAATAGGACTATATAGATTGCACACCTTAACACACACTTTTGATATATAATTGTTTCCTGGAGACGATCGCCCGCCAAACACACACCGAAACTACGACGTTGCTACAACGTTCGAACAAGTTTTAACACCTCCTAACCAGTTATAACAACCAATATAGCAAGTTGTAACAACGTTCTAATACGTCATAAACACGTTAAGCCAAGATGTAACAACTTTATTACAAGTTGTAACAAGCGGAAAATAGAGACAGTTTCGGTTTGTGTTTCCAGGGGATACGAAACATCCCACACCTGTTTGGTGTCTTTGTAAGCCATTCATTGTGGGTTTTATTCCTTTCAGGTGAGTAGCTGACGGTTGGCAAGCCTTAGCCACACTGAGCACCAACCTTTGAGACGTTTTCCGGTGAGTAGCCGGAAAGGTTTGCAAGCCTGGGACAGCCACACTGAGCACCAACCTTTGAGACGTTTTCCGGTGAGTAGCCGGAAAGGTTTGCAAGCCTGGGACAGCCACACTGAGCACCAACCTTTGAGACGTTTTCCGGTGAGTAGCCGGAAAGGTTTGCAAGCCTGAGACAGCCACAGTGAGTACCAACCTTTCAGACGTTTTCCAGTGAGTAGCCGGAAAGGTTTACAAGCTTGGGACAGCCACAGTGAGTACCAATCTTTCAGACGTTTTCCGGTGAGTAGCCGGAAAGGTTTGCAAGCCTGGGACAGCCACAGTGAGTACCAACCTTTCAGACGTTTTCCGGTGAGTAGCCGGAAAGGTTTGCAAGCCTGGGACAGCCACAGTGAGTACCAACCTTTCAGACGTTTTCCGGTGAGTAGCCGGAAAGGTTTACAAGCCTGGGACAGCCACAGTGAGTACCAACCTTTCAGACGTTTTCCGGTGAGTAGCCGGTAAGGTTTACAAGCCTGGGACAGTCACAGTGAGTACCAACTTAGGAGACTTTCAGGCGAGCCCTTCATATGCTTCAAAGTATATAGTAAATACGATATATTTCCGTTATGGAATGGATTAATACCACATTTTTCTTCAATTCTGCTGATTTTCCGATGAAAAATCTTGGTATAGAAAGCTGAAAGAAGGAAGGAAAGTTGTGAGGTGGGTATTAGCCGGTGGGTTTGTTTACATTGTGACGCGTCGTTTCCCGCCAACTGTGTTGGATGGCACGATCATTGGGCTCCATGCTCCTTTATCCTTGCCTATCTTATCCTTGCCTACCTTATCCTTGCCTGTCTTATCCTTGCCTACCTTATCCTTGCCTGTCTTATCCTTGCCTACCTTATCCTTGCCTGTCTTATCCTTACCTACCTTATCCTTGCCTGTCTTATAATTGTCTACCTTATCCTTGCCTGTCTTATCCTTGCCTACCTTATCCTTGCCTGTCTTATCCTTGCCTACCTTATCCTTTGCCTTAATCCTCTTCCTTCCCTCATCATGTACCTCTCCCCTTCCATTATTTTCTCCCTTTCCTTCACCATATGTTTCCCTTCTCACTTCCCCTACCTCCCCCATCACCTTATCCCCCATCCCACTAATCCGTCTATGTGGCCTCGTTCGCTCCTTCCCTTTTGTTTCCTTACATCTACCCTTCCAGCCCCGTCCCATCCTTCCTGTCTCTCCTGCGAGACAAAACACACCGAACGACCACCAACCATCTAATTAGCGAGGCCTCGTAATGGATGAGATGGTAAACATCTCGCTACGACCAGGGTGTGTGTAGTTACCTAGTTGTGCTTGCGGGGGTTGAGCTTTGGCTCTTTGGTCCCGCCTCTCAACCGTCAATCAACTGGTGTACAGGTTCCTGAGCCTACTGGGCTCTATCATATCTACACTGTAAACTGTGTATGGAGTCAGCCTCCACCACATCACTGCCTAATGCATTCCATCTGTTAACTACTCTGACACTGAAAAAAGTTCTTTCTAACGTCCCTGTGGCTCATTTGGGTACTCAGTCTCCACCTGTGTCCGCTTGTTCGCGTAATACCCGTGTTAAGATGTTTATCCTTATCTAGCCTGTCAATTCCTCTGAGAATTTTGTATGTGGTGATCATGTCTCCCCGAGCTCTTCTGTCTTCCAGCGACGTGTGTGTGGCTCTCAAGTGTTAGTAAAGTAATGCCAGAAAGTCGTTTACTTAGATTATATCAGGGTTCCATTTTCTGTGATAATGGACATGTCTAGGATACCGTTTTCTGTGACGACATAGACAACCGTCGGACCGTTTTCTGTGAAGACAGTGACAACCGTCGGACCGTTTTCTGTGACGACAGTGACAACCATTGGACCGTTTTCTTTGACAACATAGACAACCATGGGACCGTTTTCTGTGACAACATAGACAACCATGGGACCGTTTTCTGTGACGACAGTGACAACCATGGGACCGTTTTCTGTGACGACAGTGACAACCATGGGACCGTTTTCTGTGACGACAGTGACAACCATGGGACCGTTTTCTGTGACGACAGTGACAACCATGGGACCGTTTTCTGTGACGACAGTGACAACCATGGGATCGTTTTCTGTGACGACAGTGACAACCATGGGACCGTTTTCTGTGACGACAGTGACAACCATGGGACCGTTTTCTGTGATGACAGAGACAACCACGGGACCGTTTTCTGTGACGACAGTGACAACCATGGGACCGTTTTCTGTGACGACAGTGACAACCATGGGACCGTTTTCTGTGATGACAGAGACAACCGCGGGACCGTTTTCTGTGACGACAGTGACAACCATGGGACCGTTTTCTGTGATGACAGAGACAACCACGGGACCGTTTTCTGTGACGACAGTGACAACCACGGGACCGTTTTCTGTGACGACAGTGACAACCATGGCACCGTTTTCTGTGACGACAGTGACAACCATGGAACCGTTTTCTGTGACGACAGTGACAACCATGGCACCGTTTTCTGTGATGACAGAGACAACCACGGGACCGTTTTCTGTGACGACAGTGACAACCATGGGGCCGTTTTCTGTGACGACAGTGACAACCATGGGACCGTTTTCTGTGATGACAGAGACAACCACGGGACCATTTTCTGTGACAGTGACAACCATGGGACCGTTTTCTGTGATGACAGAGACAACCACGGGACCGTTTTCTGTGACGACAGTGACAACCATGGGACCGTTTTCTGTGATGATGGAGACAACCATGGGACCGTTTTCTGTGATGACAGAGACAACCACGGGACCATTTTCTGTGACGACAGTGACAACCATGGGACCGTTTTCTGTGACGACAGAGACAACCACGGGACCGTTTTCTGTGACGACAGTGACAACCATGGGACCGTTTTCTGTGATGATGGAGACAACCACGGGACCGTTTTCTGTGACGACAGTGACAACCATGGGACCGTTTTCTGTGACGACAGTGACAACCATGGGACCGTTTTCTGTGATGACAGTTACAACCACGGGACCGTTTTCTGTGACGACAGTGACAACCATGGGACCGTTTTCTGTGATGACAGAGACAACCACGGGACCGTTTTCTGTGACGACAGTGACAACCATGGGACCGTTTTCTGTGATGACAGAGACAACCACGGGACCGTTTTCTGTGACGACAGTGACAACCACGGGACCGTTTTCTGTGACGACAGTGACAACCATGGGACCGTTTTCTGTGATGACAGAGACAACCTCGGGACCGTTTTCTGTGACGACAGTGACAACCATGGGACCGTTTTCTGTGACGACAGTGACAACCATGGGACCGTTTTCTGTGATGACAGACAACCACGGGACCGTTTTCTGTGACGACAGTGACAACCATGGGACCGTTTTCTGTGACGACAGTGACAACCATGGGACCGTTTTCTGTGATGACAGAGACAACCACGGGACCGTTTTCTGTGACGACAGTGACAACCATGGGACCGTTTTCTGTGACGACAGTGACAACCATGGGACCGTTTTCTGTGATGACAGAGACAACCACGGGACCGTTTTCTGTGACAACATAGACAACCATGGGACCGTTTTCTGTGACATAGACAACCATGGGACCGTTTTCTGTGACGACAGTGACAACCATGGGACCGTTTTCTGTGACGACAGTGACAACCATGGGACCGTTTTCTGTGATGACAGAGACAACCACGGGACCGTTTTCTGTGACGACAGTGACAACCATGGGACCGTTTTCTGTGACGACAGTGACAACCATGGGACCGTTTTCTGTGACGACAGTGACAACCATGGGACCGTTTTCTGTGATGACAGAGACAACCTCGGGACCGTTTTCTGTGACGACAGTGACAACCATGGGACCGTTTTCTGTGACGACAGTGACAACCATGGGACCGTTTTCTGTGACGACAGTGACAACCATGGGACCGTTTTCTGTGATGACAGAGACAACCTCGGGACCGTTTTCTGTGACGACAGTGACAACCATGGGACCGTTTTCTGTGACGACAGTGACAACCATGGGACCGTTTTCTGTGATGACAGAGACAACCACGGGACCGTTTTCTGTGACGACAGTGACAACCATGGGACCGTTTTCTGTGACGACAGTGACAACCATGGGACCGTTTTCTGTGACGACAGAGACAACCACGGGACCGTTTTCTGTGACGACAGTGACAACCATGGGACCGTTTTCTGTGATGATGGAGACAACCACGGGACCGTTTTCTGTGACGACAGTGACAACCATGGGACCGTTTTCTGTGACGACAGTGACAACCATGGGACCGTTTTCTGTGATGACAGTTACAACCACGGGACCGTTTTCTGTGACGACAGTGACAACCATGGGACCGTTTTCTGTGATGACAGAGACAACCACGGGACCGTTTTCTGTGACGACAGTGACAACCATGGGACCGTTTTCTGTGATGACAGAGACAACCACGGGACCGTTTTCTGTGACGACAGTGACAACCACGGGACCGTTTTCTGTGACGACAGTGACAACCATGGGACCGTTTTCTGTGATGACAGAGACAACCTCGGGACCGTTTTCTGTGACGACAGTGACAACCATGGGACCGTTTTCTGTGACGACAGTGACAACCATGGGACCGTTTTCTGTGATGACAGACAACCACGGGACCGTTTTCTGTGACGACAGTGACAACCATGGGACCGTTTTCTGTGACGACAGTGACAACCATGGGACCGTTTTCTGTGATGACAGAGACAACCACGGGACCGTTTTCTGTGACGACAGTGACAACCATGGGACCGTTTTCTGTGACGACAGTGACAACCATGGGACCGTTTTCTGTGATGACAGAGACAACCACGGGACCGTTTTCTGTGACAACATAGACAACCATGGGACCGTTTTCTGTGACATAGACAACCATGGGACCGTTTTCTGTGACGACAGTGACAACCATGGGACCGTTTTCTGTGACGACAGTGACAACCATGGGACCGTTTTCTGTGATGACAGAGACAACCACGGGACCGTTTTCTGTGACGACAGTGACAACCATGGGACCGTTTTCTGTGACGACAGTGACAACCATGGGACCGTTTTCTGTGACGACAGTGACAACCATGGGACCGTTTTCTGTGATGACAGAGACAACCTCGGGACCGTTTTCTGTGACGACAGTGACAACCATGGGACCGTTTTCTGTGACGACAGTGACAACCATGGGACCGTTTTCTGTGACGACAGTGACAACCATGGGACCGTTTTCTGTGATGACAGAGACAACCTCGGGACCGTTTTCTGTGACGACAGTGACAACCATGGGACCGTTTTCTGTGACGACAGTGACAACCATGGGACCGTTTTCTGTGATGACAGAGACAACCACGGGACCGTTTTCTGTGACGACAGTGACAACCATGGGACCGTTTTCTGTGACGACAGTGACAACCATGGGACCGTTTTCTGTGACGACAGAGACAACCCCGGGACCGTTTTCTGTGACGACAGTGACAACCAT